TCCAACCACCACTGGAACCCACCAGATGTTGTGGCCACATACAGTGGGTCCAACCACCATTGGAATCCACCAGATGTGGCCACATATAGTGAGTCCAACCACCACTGGAACCCACCAGATGTGGCCATATACAGGGGGTCCAACCACCACAGGAACCCACCAGATGTCGTGGTCACATATAGTGGGTCCAACCACCACTGGAACCCACCAGATGTTGTGGCCCCATCAGATGTGGCCATATACAGTGAGTCCAACCACCACTGGAACCCACCAGATGTTTGGCCATACACAGCCGGCTTAACCACCCCTAGAACCTACCAGACAGGTGATCCTTAGGCCTCTGCTGGATGAGCCCACCACCTCCTAAGGCAGCCTATTACCCTTTGGGATGGCTCTCGTTGTTAAGGAGTTTAGGGTGGGTTCCCCTTACACACATTAGTGGCTCTGAAGGAAAGGAGATACCAGGTGATAGGAGTCTGTGAAGACCCATCATGGCACCAGGAAATTCCCTCATCATCTTTAGGAAGGCAGCTAAAAAGCAAAGCCCTTCCTAATGTAGCTGCTCTTTTAAATCATGATCATTGCTGGGGAAAGCCTCTAATAGAGGTCCTGAAATGCCAGAGCTGGGAAGTGGGGTGCTGAGGGGTGGGGAGAATGGAAGAGTTGGACATATTTTCATTTCTATCTCCATGGCCCAGGACAGTGATGGCACCTCGCAGGTCTGTAAAACACTTGTGGAATGTTTGAATTCTCTGAAACACACATATAAGGCCTCATTTAGAGACTCCCCATTCATAAGACAGACCACAGGTTCTGAGCTGCAAGTGACCTTAGGAGCATCTGATCCCACATTCTCACCTTGCAGATGAGGAACTGAGGCCAAGACGTGACCTCCCCGAGGTCACACAGGCACAGCTGGGAAGGCTAGGACTTGAGGCCAGTCCAAGCCACATTACTCTGTGTGCTGCTACTGGACACTTTACGGGAATATTCCCTTGAGTGTGCGGAGGGGACTCAGGGAAGGGCAGGCTTCTCAGAAACTGCCACCCCTCCCCACACACACCTCCCCCCCTCCATGCAAAGAATTCTTGGCAAGCCTGAAGGCAAGCCAGTACCAGAACATACCCATGGATGGAGCTTTCCCTGGCATTCCCCAGACCCCTAGCCACATACACACACTAGGCAAAGTGCACTTTGGATAAATGTGATTTTCTTCCAGATTTCCAGATTTATAGGTTACCCCCTCTGACAACACCCTCCAAAGATGGGCCTGGGCTGAGCTGAGCCCCACTTCAAACAAGCAGGCCCTCTTGAATAAAAATAACCCTAAATGTGTGCTCCAGAAAAATCAGAATGGATGGAGCTCAGCCAGGATCCCTGATGGGTCCAACTAACGTTCTCCGGGGCACCCGACCTTGAGAGTGAGAGTCCCCCCAAGAAACAACTAGGTTCACGCTTCCAGGGATGTTCTGGTTAGAAGCAGGAGAGGGAAAAGTACTCATGGGTTGGTGAAAGGAGCAAGATGAGAGAAAAAATTCACTGACAAAGCCAGAGCAGCTCTACAGAAGGGGTCCATAGCTTTAGCCTGCCTCTCTTTTCAGGAAGAAACTGATGCCCATAGATGAAGTGACTTAGCCAGGGCAAGACAAAGTAGCGGGGTCAGGATTTGAACCCAGGCCCTCTGATTGCAGAAACAGTGCTATGTGGGGTGGTGGCAGGCTGGTACCAGTCAGGAAGGATTCTAGGCCTTCCACTTACCAACTGACTGCCCACACATAAACTGTCTGGATCTACACTCTATCATCCTAGGTATTTCCCTGAGAAATGGTCATGATTCTCACCTCTAGAATAAATAACAACACATCTTGGTTTGAATTGGTGTTTCCTTCTGTGGTTCTGCTGGGAAGCTCCCTATCCTAAGACAACCCAGCCCATTTCTTATGCCTGTGGTCTGCTGCCAACATGGTCAAGCCTGTGCCAAGGCCCGAATCACTGCTTAATTACCAGCAGAATCACCTCAGACCCCACCTCGCCCAACCATTTTACTGATGAATGAGAGATGGAGAGACTGACCCCAGGTCACCCCGGCTGGCTGGGGCGCCCACTCTGAGACCCAAAGGGCGCTGGAGTGTTACTCCAGGTCATCCAAGGTGACCATCTGCCATCTCCCTCCGCCCCAGAAAGTGACCCAGAATGGACCAAGCGACCCGGGGGAGAACAAAGCTCAGAAGGCATCATTCAATGACTATTTATTTTCATAGACATGAGGTATTTCAAAGTGCTCAAAGATGCAGCACTAAATAGACATTTCCAAGACAAGTGAAACACAGAACTTCGCCTTTCCCCAGTTCTATGCCCCAAACATTAACAAGGACGCCAACAGCAAGAAACGGGGCAAGGGGGAGAAAAAGGCTGAGAAGTCAGTTTTTTTTTTACAAAAGCTTCTTAGTTCCAAAAAGTGATAAAGTAATATCTACTCAAAACTTCACAACTCATTTTCATACGAAAATATAAGTATCAAATGTAGTCATGTCTCCGCGCCATACTAAAGTATACGGACAGTGTAAGAATTAGTCCAGTATATAACAGAGATTAACAAGGTATCTGTATACAAAACATGCTCCTCAAACATTGAGGCGTCACAGGACTTAGGTAAGACTCGCCACTCTCCAAACGGCGGCCGGGCAGCCGCCTCTCATTACCCAAGACATGGACAAAGGCAAGTGTGAAATCACTATTTACAGAGATGTAGCGAGCTCGCCCGGGAGCAAAGCAGAACGAACAGGTGGGACGTCCGGTCCAGCGGGGGGTCAGAACGGGAAGCACCATTGAGGAAAGAAGGGCCGACTCGCTGGTTTGCGTCTGGAGGCTCCAGACCCGCCGTGGAAGGGCCGCCCGCAGGTCGGGGGAGCGGCGCGTCCGTCTCCGTCCCTCCGGCCAGCTCCCGAGGCCCCGCGAGGCGTCCCCACCCACATCCAGTCTCGGAGAGAGGACCGGATTGAAAGTAAACCAACATTCTTAACGTCAAAACACCTTTTTCTCTTGAACAATTAAAAAAAATGTGCAAAGTGGCAGTGGCTGTCCGAGGCCGGCACGGGGCCAAGCCTCGGCGGGGCGTGGGCTCAGCAAGTCCGCACGTGCTCCACCTTCTTGAGCAGCTGCTCCTGCCTGGCGATCAGCTTCTTCTTCTCCAGCTGCAGCCGGTGCTCCTCGGCCTGCAGGGAGTGCACGTACTCGGTGGCCTTCTTCAGGATGACCACCTTGGCCGCCTTGTCGTTCTTCACCAGCTCCGGCACGTGGTCCCTGAGGGTGATGAAGCTGGACCTCAGGTCGTTCCGCCGCTGGCGCTCCAGGATGTTGTGGTTGCGGCGGCGCTCGCTGTCCTCGGAGTCGGAGTTCCGCGGGCTCGCGCTCTTGGCCTTGGGCGGCACCGGGACGCTCTTGGCGGGGCGGGGCGGAGCCTCAGCCTTCATCTTCTTCGGGGGAGGCGAGTCCTCGCGCTCCGCGAAGGGGGAGGGCGCAGCGTAGTTGTGCTGCTGATGGATGGGCGCACAGCGCTTGAGGATCAGCTCCCCCGGCTGGGCCCTGATGGCGGCGGCCACGGCGGCGCTCTTGGGCCGAACGGTGATGGTGAACGTGGTGACCGCCTTGGGGTTGTTGGAGGACGACGCTCGACGCTTCTCCACCGTCACCACGTCGATCTCCTCTTCCTCCTCTTCCTCCTCCTCATCTTCATCATCTTTTAGAAACAAAGTCAGAGAATTACAACCTGCGCCTCGTCCGGGAGCAGTTAAAAATGCCCTTCGACGAACGCTGGAAGGAGGTCTGACCCAAGAGGGGAAAGGGGGCAAGCGGAGAAATGACTTTCACACACCCTCGGTGATCTGGGGGGAAAGGGATCCATCACACACACACAAACACACAGACACACACAGACACACGCACGCACACGCACACAGACACACACACACGCACACGTCAACGTGCCAAAGGAACCACGCAAAGACAAACCCAAGGTTCCAGGTTAGCAAAGGCGGCTGGGATAGAGGCAGTGCAGCCCAGCGGCCAGAGCACTCAACTTCCAATCAGGAAACATGGGAGTGAACCCAAACTTGGCCAGCAACTAGCCCGGCAACTTGGAGAAAGCCTCCACGCACCCTCTTTGTACCTAATTCCTCCTCCAGAAAACACCATCCACACCTGTACCACCTATGTCCAGGGTCCCAGGGAAACAGGGGCCTCTGTACAGGTCCCTGCATCATTTCTCCAGGAAGTCTGCAAGTGAACATGTATTGGTGGATAATAGATGAGCTCTGGGGCCAGAGCTGGCTCTTAAGTAAGGGAAAACTAGAATTCCAGAAGAATCCAGAAAGCCTTAGGTGCCTCCTCAGGCATCAGAGATGTGTACTAGGTGGGCATGTTTTGTCCCTCTCTGACAGAGACGCAGACTGGGAACCTCAGGAGGCCAGGGAATGGACTGTAGGGAAGACAGCCTGGGCACTTAGCTCTGCATATCGGTGCTCGATAAATGTCTGCTCATTTCAATGCCGTCTGACACGCATCTAATAGCCTCCTACTACATGAACCAGGCACAAGGCAGGGCCTGGGGGATCCAAGCCAAAACCCACCGACAACGGGAGTGGAGTAGTGAAATGTCCTTCACAGACACACACACGAGAAGCCCCATGAAGATCACATACACGTCCAACTGCGACAGAGATGGAAGGATCCAGGAGGGTGGATCTGGGACCTATTCTCACCAGAACCCAGAAAAGGCCTGGCAGAGTCTGAGCAAAGACACAGGGGCAGGAATGACAGGGCCATTAACGGGGTGGGGGTTCTGCACTGGCGGAGGGGAAAGTCTCTAACACCCAGCGTTTCCACCCCCAATAAGATCACTCCTTCTAAAATAGAAGATGCTCATCTGGACCCTACACACACACACACACACACACGCGCGCGCACACGCGCGCACACACACACACCACACACGCATACGCATACACATGTGCACACACATCGCACACGCACACACTACACATGTGCACACACACCACACACATACACACGCACACACGTACCACATGCACACACATCACACACACCCACACCACACACACGTGCACGCACACACACCACACACATACCACACGCATACACATACACATGTGCACACACATCACACGCACACACACACACACACACGCCACCCCATGGAAATCCTGCCCCGTCTTTGGCACCGGAGATCTGAACAATTGGTGGATTTGTTCTGAAGCTAACACTGTGCTGTCCCAGTCTGCGGGTCCCCGTAAGGCCTAGGTTTTGGGTGCCTGCCAAGAAGACAGCTGTTGGGAGGAAATGCTTCCCTCACCCAAGGCTGTCAAGGCAGGGCCATTAAAGGGACAGGGAGCCTTTTTTTGGAAACTGAAGGCTGATCCAAAGTTTCCAGGGCTCGAACAGGACTACACCCACCCAACAGGCCCTTCGGTCACTAGCACAGGACACCTGGTTTTGTGCCCAGCCCAAGGCGTGGGGACGTGACTTTTAAACAGAAAGGAAGCTGGGCTCCCTCTCTCTCCTGCCATCACCTTCTGGGTAGCCCCAGCCCCAGGCCTGAGTACCTCAGCCCAGTGGGACCCAGCTCGAGGCAGCCGTGGGAAGGGCTAACTTGGAATGTCTCCGTGCTCCCTGGAGGTGTTCCGGCCAGCATGGAACCACGTTTAATGTATTGGGGGGTATGAAGGATGTGAACCTCCCTTCATGGTCTTCCTCAATAGACCATAAGCTTCCTGAGGGCAGGGACCGTGCTCTGGATCCCACAGAGCTGAGATCAGAAAGCCATCTCCAGTGGCCAACCCTCTTTTTACAGAGGAGCTAACTGAACCCCTCAAAGTTAAGTGAGCGACCTTATACGGTCCAGGGCCTGACACTCCCCCCTCCACCACAGACGCTGGATAAATACCACCTGGAGGAATGAGTACAATCAGCTCCTTCGAGGACAAAGACAATTCTGCCCCTGATGCCCAGGGTTTGAGCACAGGGCTTGGCACAAAGCACCCACTTAAACAAGGCTTACTGGCCCCACGGGGCAGGTTGGGGAGGGGCATCTGGGAACATCTAGTCTTACAGACCGGACACTGGAGAACAATCCATTAAGCACCTAGCGCTTCAGAAGCACTGGCTGAGTACTTCGCCAAGGTCACCCAGGTGGGAAAGGCCAGGGCAGGGTCACACGCAGAGAAGCCTGGGTTCCTAGGGCTCGACTGGCTACACTTTCCCAAGGGTGGGAGTGGGCGCAGGAGCTGAATTCGGATCAAAGGGGCCTTGGAGGGGGTGGGCGACACACCGCCACCTGCTGGCACCCCCTGAACCACCGGCCAGCCCCAGGCGTTGCTGGAGAGTGCCGGGTGCTCACTTAGCCAGCCAGGGATCTGCCCCTTTCCTCCAGGGCTCTTGTCCAGGAGAGGGTGTGTGCGGAGGGAGGGGGGAATTTTGCTCTGGTCAGTCCCCTTTCCACCCTATTGCCTTCTCGCCCCTCCCCCCTCCCCACCCCTCTCTCCCCTCAGGGGAGGCTGGGGATTTCTCCTAATGGATCCCCCTTCAGTGCTCTGGCCTCAGGGTGCGCGGCACCACGGGTCGACTCTCCCAGCCCCCCCCCCCACCACGGAATCTGTGAAACCACCACCTTTCCCTATTTCGTGATGGGGGACCAGGAGTGGGGCGGGGAGACCCCTAAGGACAGACCTTTAATTGTAAATAGAAAGCAGTCCATCCCTACCCCCCCCACCATCCCTTTTCAGGGGACCCCCGCCCAAGTGCTCCTGGGCACTTCAGAAAAGGCAGTTGCAATTGGTCCCCGAACCACTCCCCGCCCCGACAGAGAAGATGATGACAGGGCCCAATTCTTCGAACCGCCAGCAGAAAGAAGAGGGCCTCTGGGGGGGGGGAAAGGGGGCCGATGGAAGGGGGGGTCGTCTTACCCGAGTCGCTCAGGGTGTCGTCCCCGGAGCAGCTGTTGGCCCTGGCGTCTACCGCGGGGAAGGGGCGCCCGGGGCCGCGGGGGTGCTGCCCGGCCCCTCCCGGGGGCTCCCCAGACCTGCCGGCGGCTCCGGCTGCAGCGGCCGGGGGCTCGCGCTTGTTCACCGGGAAGGGAAAGACCACGGCCGGGTCCACGCACTCGGAGGCCGGGTTGCACAGGTCGGCAGCCCCGGGGGCTGGGAGCTCGACGGCTGCCGCTACGGGAGCCCTGGAGGGCGGCGCGGAGGAGGAGGCAGCGGAGGCGGTGGCGACCCCGCCGGCCTTGGCCAGGCCGTCGGCCGGCGCCCCCCGCGGGCCGGCCTGCAGCTTCTCGGTCACCACCCGCTCCAGCTTCTCCCGCGCCGAGAAGCCGCTCCACATGCAGTCCCGCAGCACGAAGGCGCTGAGATTGCCCTCGCCCCAGGCGGCGTGGGCCGGGCCCCCGGTCCCCCACGGCTCCGCCTCGGGGGGCGGCAGCAGCAGCAGCTCGGACGCCCAGTCGGGGGGCTCGCCGCCCCCGGGCCAGGCGGCTGCCGGGCTAGGCAGCCCGCCGGGGCCGACGCCGGGCCCGGCCCGGCTCGGGGAGAGCGGCGGCGTGGGCAGCAGCTCGAACTTCTTCCAGATGTCCTCCCCCGGGGGCGCGGCGTCCGGGCCGCCCACGTAGAAGTCGTCCTCGTCGGGGTAGAAACAGGGCTGCAGCGAGTCGAACTCCAGGTCCGGGTTCTTGGGGGCCGCGGCGCCCACGGGCATGGTGGGAGGGGGCGTGGGGGGCGGCCGCCGCTCCTCGGGGCGCGCTGCTCCGCCGCCTTCTGGGGCTCTGCTTGCCGTCGGGGTGCGAGGGAGCCAGAGAGAAGATGGAAGGAGAGACGCACCGGTGAGCCCTGGGCAACGGACAGACAGACGGACACGGGAGGGAGAGAGGAAGAGGGAGGAGGGGGGGAGGGAGAGAGGGAGAGGGAGG